CAAAACAAAACAAAACAAAACAAAACAAAACAAAACAAAACAAAACACTTGTAGTACTGACCTCATAGAACTGTTGTAAGAGAAATTGTTTCGTAAATTTTAAAGTAGACAAGTATGGTTTGATTCGTGTAAAGGCCATTTGCATATGGCTCTCCTCATTGGTGGAGACTGATTGCCTGATGCAATAATATTTTTAAAAGTTAAAATAACGAAGAAACCAACAGCTTCTTATGCAGGGCTCACCCCAATGCACACTGATTCCTGTCCTCATCTTTGATTTCCTCCTTCAACCCCAACTTTGGAGAGGCCCATCAGAAACACCAGGAACTCTCACTCACTTCTGGGAAGAAAGAGATTCAGAAAAACTGGGTCACATTCTGGGCGCTCAGTGAAAATCCCTCCCTTTTTTAGAGTTACTAGACTTTTTCCTAACACATTTGGATGCTTTAAATTATTTACATTGAATAATTTTGCCACATTTATTACTTTTCTCACCTGGTTAAAAAAATAAAAACTCCAGCCTCCTTTGCATTAGCATATGTTTTCACATTGTGTGTGTGTGTGTGTGTGTGTGTGTGTGTGTGACGCGAGTGATTTGTCTGAGGCTGAGCCCGTGTCTATATCCCCTGCATCTCAGCACCTGTTCTTTCTAGGAAAGCCAAACTCGTTGCCATAGAAACACAGTCAGTTCCTGAACCTTCACATAGAATAACATCTTGGAGAAGAATCACTCCTTGTTTTATTTTTCACTCCATACTTTTATTAAACAAATATTAGCTCAGGCAGAACTAACATTTCAGGGTTTAAAAAATGTACATTTCTGAGAAAATAGAATGGAGTCCATTTTGCTACTTTTTGCAGACCTCTTAATATTGGGAGGAAAAGAGAATAAAATGAAGTTACACATATCCAAATTATCGATAGCAGGTACAGAGATGAGGTTCAAATAATCCCCAAACATTTCCCTCCCCTGCCCCACATATTGGCCCTTCATAGACACAATTGCCTAGTGGAACCCATGTTAAGGACTGATTATGTGACCTGTAGAATTAGTTTGTCAGACCATATAGGTTTCATATTTTGCTCTATCAAAGTTACGTGTTTTATTGTAGAAGTAATTGCTGCACAAAATAATTGAAGGCTTGCTTTTTTTGCTCCCCATGAATGACATAGTCTTTTAGAATTACAGAATTATAAAATGTTAGTGCTGAAAAAAGTCTTAGGGGAGGAGAACCTGCAGCCTTAAGGCCACATGCAGCCCTCTAGGTCCTCAAGTGTGGCCCTTCAGGCAAAGAGCTGTACATGAGGACCTAGAGGGCTACATGTGGCCTCCAGGCCACAGGTTCCCTACCTCTGGAGAGATCATCTAACCCATTCCCATCGTAATTACAGCTGAGGAAACCGAGGTCACACAGTGAGTGGCAGAGCCAGGATTAGAACCCAGATTCCTGCCTCCCAATCCAGTGCTCATTCCGCACCCCCTTAGCAACATGTGTTTATCCCGAGAGTAATAACATTTACAAAATCTTAATACAGACACATCAATTCACTAGCAAAAGAAAAGGGCATACACTTAATTTTTTTAAAGTCACACATTCATCTTTATTGGATAGATTTTTTTTTTTAAAGACTGAGGTTCATGCAGTATGAAAATCTTCATGGTAGTTTAAAGCTTTTTCAGAGAAATGAAATACAAACCAGTTCCAGGACTGTGCTTTCCCAGGCCGACAGCTGTGGCATCCAACCACTTTCTGTGGGTCACCTTGCTCACTCATTGGGATATTTTCTCTGGTTGTCTCCCATGCTTGGAATGATCACCGTCCTGGCTTCCATGCCTTTCTTTAAGTCTCAACTAAAATCCCACCTTCTACAAGAAGCCTTTCCCCAAACTTCTTACTTCTGGTGCCTTCCCTCTGTTAATTATCCTCCAGTTTTTCCTATATAGAGCCTGCTGGCACATATTTGCTTGCCATCTCCTGTTGGATTGTGAATTTCTAGAGGGCAAGAACTGTCCTTTGCCTCTTTTCGTATCCTCAGTGCTTAGCAGAGTGCCATACATAGCAGGTGTTTGTCAAATGTTTACTGACTTATCTCTACCTGCATGAGAACTTCTCCATACAACTTCCCATACCACCGCTTCCAAAATTGGGTAGGTTCAGTGGGTCCTGAACATTAATGAAGCCTCTCTTAGGCTGCATGAAGCTGAACCGATCAAAAAGAAAGTTACGCGGATCATTCTTCCTGACTTAGAGCACATTTCATGAAAACAGACTTCCTTTGAAATATTCTGACATGGCAATGGCTCAGATCTCATTGGTTACAGTCTGCTCTACAGTGGAAAGGTGAAATGGATACAGCACTGATTTTGGAATCAGGAAAATTCATCTTCATGAGTTCAAATCTGGCTTCAGACACTTACTAAATGTGTGACCCTGGGCAAGTCACTTAACCCTGCCTGCCTCATTTTCCTCATCTGTAAAATAAGATGGAGAAGGAAATGGCCAATCACTACAGTATTTTTGCAAAGAAAACCCCAAAATGGGGTCATGAAGAGTTGAACACAACTGAAATGACTGAAAAACAACAACAACAACAACAACAAAGTCCTAGGCTCAAAGCTGCAGAACTAGCAGGGACCTTAGAAATCATCTACGCTGGGGTTCTTTACCTGAATTTGGATGGGGAAAAAGTTGGGGGCAACTAGGTAGTGTAGTGGATAGAGCACCAGACCTGGAGTCAGGAAGACTCATCTTTTTTTTTTTTTTTTTTCCTTGCAAGGCAATTGGGGTTAAGTGACTTGCCCAGGGTCACACAGCTAGTGAGTATCATGCGTCTGAGGCTGAATTTGAACTCAGGTCCTCCTGATTCCTGGGCTGGTGCTCTATCCACTGCACCATCTAGTTGCTCTAGGAAGGCTCATCTTAATGAATTCAAATCTGGCCTCAGACACTTACTAGCTGGGTGACTCTGGATTAGTCACTTACCTTTGTCACAGTTTTCTCATCTGTCATACGAGTTGGAGAAGGAAATGACAAATCACTCTTTGCCAAGAAAACTCCAAATGAGATAATGAAGAGTCAGACTCAACAATAGAAAAACAAAATAGATAGAAAAGAAAAGACTCAACAATAATAAATTCCTTTGTAATTCTCTGTATTTTATTTTATGCATCTAAAAGCATTCTTCTGAGAAGGGGTCTGTAGTCTTTAGCAGACTGCCAAAAGGGTCCATGATACACACACACACACACACACACACACACACACAAAATGTTAAGAAACGCTTATTTTTACAGATGAGGAAGATATAGCCTGAAAAAGTAATAGGATTTGCTCAAGGCCACGTAGGTAGTAAGAAGTTGAGACTGGATGTGAACCCAGTCAGGGGACTTGGATTTCAATTGGAAAATGACTGGATTAGATGAACTTTCAAATCTCTCTCTGCTCTAAATCTATGATCCTGTGATCTTTCCTCACATGAAAACAGAATGGTTTAAAGTCGAAATAAAAGACAAAGAGAAAGATCCCTCCTCCCCACTTCAGGATGGCCATCAGGACCTTAACCAGTGAGAGCCTTGGGGTGGCAACGGAAGGTGGGGAGGGTGAGAATTGCTTCAGTTAGGGAAACATTTCTCAATCTGGGTTCTGAACTTATGCTTTTAAAATGTTTTGATAACTATTTCAAAATAATTAGTTTTCCTTGCATTCTTATGTATTTTGCAGTATGCTGTTAGAAATATATTCTGAGAAGAGGTTCCTAAGCTTTCCCAGGTTGCTGAAGGGGTCCTTAACAAATGCCCATGTTTTTTAAAAGTCCATGACAAAAAAAGTTTAAGGGAAGCCTGGGCCCCACTTGGAAGTGTCTCCTGACTTTGATTTTTGAAAATTTGTGTCCCATAATTCTTTATGGAGCTCTGTTAATACATAATTCCAGCGTATAGTTTGACTGCCCAGTACCTGAAGATGGGTATGTGACGTTTTCCACAGATAGGAACCTCCTTCTTACCATGACTGTGTCCAACTTTAAGTTGGCCAGGGATGTTCCAAGCTCATGAAGAGACTTTGAATCAAAAAATGAATCCTAAACTGTCAGAGCACAGTCATTGCCTTCATTGAGCCCTATCTACTCTCACTTAGCAAAAAACCATATTTCTTTTTCAGGGGGGAGAAAGAGAAAAACAACATTCCATATTCTATTTGCAAGAAACCATCCCTCTATGGAAGTTATAGAATCATAGAATTTGAGAATTAGAAGGAACATTAGAAGCCAATGGTTCTTTAACTTGGGATCTGTGAATTCATATTTAAAAAAAAGATTTTAATAGCTGTATTTCACTATAATTGATTTCTTCTATAATTCTATATATCTTATTTATACATTTTGAAACATGTTTCATTAGTCAGAGAAGGCTTCACCACACTGCCAAAGGTGTCCATCTCCCCAGCAAAGTGAATAACCCCTGGAACTAGACAGACCCATTCATGAAAGGAATCCTCACTATAACATATCCAGCCTTTGCTTGAAGACCTCCAAAGAGGAGATCATTCACCATTCCCATGACTTCTCCAACCAAAACCTTCCCTGGTTACTACTCCCCTGTGTGTTTTTTCTCTATGTATAAGATCATTAAAAAGTCTAAAAACTTCTTGAATTCCATATAAAAATAATTGTATGTGTATACTCATATGTATATATGTATATGTATTTGGGTGAATGAATATGGCATTACCCATACTGTAACCTACTAAGTAAAATGCAAGCCATTAGCATATTTTCTTATTGGTTTTTGCCCTTAGCTTTTTCGGCATCTCCGTCAACAATGCTCTCTGCATCCGACAAGTCACTCCCACAAGTCTTTACTTTGCTCTCGAGTTTACTGAGTCTCTGCTTGACTTTCATTTGGGTGGCATTATATTCTGCCAGGAGCCTAGCAAATCTGGTCTGTAAATTATCCAGGGAAGACTCAAGTCTCTCCACCTTCTCCTCCATGTCCACTGGGTCTGTTCTCCCAGCCGCATCCTCATCTATCAAGTTGTCCTTCATTAGAATCTGCCGTCCCTTCTCTTCCAGGGCCTTTTTGGCTTCTGGATATTCAGTGAGGGACTCCATTAAGTCATCTTTGGACAAGCAGAATAGATCAGAGTAACCGATGCTCCTGATATTGGCTGTTCTTCTATTTCCAGATTTGCTCCCTTTGATGTTTAAGATGCTGATTTCCCCGAAGTAGCTTCCATCGCTAAGGACCACAAATTGAGTGATGCCATCATCAGCCACTACCGCCAGCTTCCCTTCTTTGATGATGTACATTTCTCTCCCAATATCCCCCTTCTTGCAGATATAATCACCAGGGCTGAACACGGCAGGCCTAAGCTTTAGGACCAGCTCCACTAGGAGGCCTGCCTCACAGTCCTGGAAAATACGTACCTTTTTCAGGGTATCCAGGTGTACATTGATGGCAATCTCGGCCTTCAGCTTGTCTGGGAGGCTTTTGAGTACTTCCTTTTCATCGACTGTCTTCTTGTTGGTCCACAGGTAGTCAAACCACCTGATGATCCGGGTCTCCAAGTCCTTGGTCACTTTTCGGAATTGCATGTACTGCTTTATGGAGTCGATTTTGGCCTGGAATTCAGCCCTGGAGGCATTCATGTTGGAGATCATGGAGCCAACATTACCCACAATGGTGGCAAAGATCAGCACTCCCACCAGGAAGTCAATCACCACAAAGAGGTACTCCTCGTCTTTGACAGGCGGTGGAGTCTCCCCAATGGTAGTCAGAGTCAGGGTGGACCAGTAGAGACAATAAATATATTTCCTGGACAGGCGCCCATATTCTGGGATAGAGATGTTGGGGTAAACCCAGGAATCAGTTCCAAATCCAATAAGCTTGGAAACGGCAAAGTAGATACATGCATTCCAATGGATGATGATCAGAATGTACAGGACAAGATTTCCAATCCTGAACATGTTAGGATAGTTGGTCCTAGTCTCCGTGCGGTCAAAGAATTCAAATAGCCGGGCGAATTTCAGCAGGCGGTTGAATCTCAACTCAGGGTAGTTCAGCCCCACTTTTAAATAAGCCAGATCAGTGGGGGCCAGAGAGAGTACATCCAGCTTGAACTGGAACATCTTCATGTAGTGCCTTCTGAGTTTCTCTGCATCCTTGACCATTAAACCTTGTTCAAGAAAGCCTAGAAAGGAAAGGGATCACTTAGTCATTCGAGAGATCATGTGGCCTCTACAAGAGGGTGTTAAGACAAGGGCAGAGCCAATCAACTACCATAGCCGATCCCTCTTTACGGTCAGGGGTGAAGTCTAGACCTTTGGTTTCATTAGTATAGGGAATTTCTGGTTTAGAAACTTCTCCAGAGGTACAGATTTGAAAGAACGAAGGAAGGAAAGAAGGAAGGAAGGAAGGAAGGAAGGAAGGAAGGAA